GGGGCCCAATATCTGGTGAAGCTGCAGAGAAAATACTGTCCAATGAACCAGATGGGTCATTCATTGTACGAGATAGTAGTGATGATCATTATATTTTTTCCTTATCATTTAGACTTAACAGTTGTGTGCGACATGTAAGAATAGAGCATGATCAGGGTAAGTTTTATTTTTTATAAAATTCTTATTTTTTTAAATAATTTATATAATATATTTATGTATATGTCATATATATAGGTAATTTTAGCTTTGGAAGTTGCACAAAATTTAAGTCTCATACAATTGTCGATTTTATTGAAAATGCAGTAGAACATTCGCGTAGTGGACGATATTTGTTTTTTCTTCATCGACGGCCAGTGTTAGGTCCAATGCGTGTGCAACTTCTTCATCCAGTGTCAAGATTTAAGCAGGTTCAAAGTTTACAGCATACATGCAGATTTGTAATTTTGAAGATGGTACGCAGGGATCTTATTCCCACTCTACCTCTGCCTCGGCGGCTCATTGATTATTTGAGCACGCCTCATTACTACAGTGAGCAATTAGCTGAACAAGATGATAGAGCTGAATCTCCTGTTAGTTCTTCAACTGGTGAATTAGAGAAGATTTGTTTCACACCACAAGGCCTATCGTGAGATATAAATATATAATTTTTGTCCTTCATTTTTATGAAATACTTGCCAAATATTTATAATATATGGTTTAAAATTAAAAATTTTATACAATTTTGTTTCATATAATTCTGTTAAATAATATTATAATTAAATATGAGAATAACTGATTTTTATTATTATATGATTTAAATTTGAAATTTAAAATATTAATATCTGTTTGAAAAGAAAAATAATCCGTTCCATGCAGTTCTTATATAGAACAATATAGTTAATTGCATAAGAATACTAAATAAATTATAAAACAAAAAATAAAATTTGTTCAAAAATAATTTTCAATCAGAATTCTCATTTATGTAATTAAAAATGCAGAAATTGATATTAGATTTTCAAATTTAGTTTTTTGATTTTATTATGAAATGATATAATCATTATATGTCAAAAAATTCTACGTTATTAATTATAGTTTTTATTTATAAGTTCCTGTTATTAATTTTAATAATCTTTTGAATTCATATGATGCAATGAATGTATAATATATTATATTCATATATAATGATGCAAAACAGTAATTAAATAATCTTTCTTACGTGCCATATATCTTATATTACATTATATTATATTATATTTATATTATATTATATTACATTATATTATATTTTTTATTTAAACATTGAAATCATAATTTTTTTACTGATTTTTTGGTTTATTAGTTTTCATTTAATAAATTATGTTTTTGCCAGAGATTATTTAATTATTTTATTATTCTTTATAAAATTTTGTTTTAATATAAATGAAAAAAATATAAATATAATCTATATCCTATATTTGACATTCCACTTTATTAGATGATTAATATAGAGTCAATAAATAATTTTAAATATGATGTACGTATGCAAACAATTATGAAAAAATGCTGTAGGCAATTATGAAAAAAATGCTAATATATTAAAATATAATCTGGCATATGTAAAAATCAGTTATGTTTGTCATTTGTAAAAAATTTCTATACTAATCATTTTAATATTGTTATATCATGTTTTAAGTTTAGAAGTAGCTGCCACAGACTGATTAACTTAGATAAAATATTCAACGAATTAATGGAATCATAATGTAGTATAAATATTTTCATTCAAGCATCAATCGTATTTTTCTGCAAATTATTATAATCATTTTTAAAAATAATCTTTGGATGGAACATTGTTTCATTGTTTCAAATTGTTTTATAATGTAAATATTTTATGTATATTACTTAATTTTATATAGAATAATTAAATTGCCCGGAATTTTATCTGGCAAATTAGATATATATATTTTGTGATTTAATGGATAATTAATATATGATGTGCAATTTTTTAAATGTATTATATTTATTTTCATTCTTTATAGCTAATTTTAAACTAAGATCTAATAATATTTACTCCTTGAAAGAATAAAAGATTCTTTGTTATAACTGATTAGCGACTGGTGCTATATAAAATTATAAATTATAGAATTCTGATTCCTTAAATTATACAGTTGAATGAAGATAATCAAAGTCACTGTTTATTTTTGTGCTCAGATAAACTTAACAAGATTACATCGTGCAAGGCACTTAATCGAATTTATATTATGTATTTAATTTTTTATAATTTTATATATCTATGTTTTTTTCTAATTTGGATAAAATTTCCGAAATTTATATTCTTGAATTATATATATAT